TTTATTGTATGGGGGCCTGAATTCATAAAGACTTCTCTTAGATTTGCCAGACAAGCAATGGCTGCAGAGATCATTTGGCTGATGTGAGCCTCTGGAAATATTGGGCACTATGTTCACCCCTAGGTCTCTCTGTCCCCCTAGTCCATACCCCATTTTCAGTCTTCTTGCTTCTTCCCCAATCTTCATGACCTTCCATTTACTGGGTTAAATTCAAGAAACCACTTATCTGGCCACTCTTCCAATTTGTCCAAATCCCTTTGGAGCCTTTCCTTGTCCTCATTTATTTTTATTCTCTATTAGTCACACATCATAAGTAAACAGGGATTTCTCCGAATCAATCTCATCTAAAATGTTATTCATATAAACGAGAAACAGAACTGGTCCTGATATCAACCCCTGCAGAACCCCATTCTGACGTTTCTTTCTTGATAGTCATTATTTGCTTCCTTCCCCAAAAATGCTCTTTGATCCATTGGATTATGCTCCCTGTTATTGCTGCCTGAATCTCAAGTTTTTGGCCCAGTCTCTTGAGGGGTTCAGTATCAAATGCCTTCTTGCAGTCTAAAAAATGCTATTCACTAAACTCTCTCTTTCTCCTTCCACATCTGTTCCTTTGTCAAAAACTAAAAGTTAGAGACAAGATTTGCTATCCAGAAACCCATGCTGGTTATTATTTATGAAACCCCTTCTCTTGAAGTATTCTACCACTCTTCTTCTAATAAGTTTTTCCATTACCTTGCAAGGTATGCATTCCAGAGAAACTGGTATGTGGTTTAACACCTGTCTGTCTGCATAACCAAGGGCTTTCTGCATGCACAACCAAATATCACCTATCTCCATATTTTGTATCATATAGAAATAAATCTTTGACTTTCTCTTTTCTTAAATATTGGGATTACATTTGTTGTCTTCCAGATCTCTGGTAACTGTCCTGTATCCACTGACATATTGTAGATTATAGCTAGTTGTTTAGACAATGTTTCTGCATCCTCTCTCAGAATCCATGGCAACACCTGATCAGTATCCAGGTCCATCAAAATTTCCTTTACCTCTTTCCCTGTTGTGTGACTGACTCCCGGTACTTGTCAGTACCCCTGTTCCTTAAGTCTCCTTGGTATTGCCTGTTTCCAATGAGAAGGCCCTGTCAAATTTTTTTTATCAACACTTAAAGAGACCTCCTTGTTACTGTATATGAGCCCTCCTCCTTCCTTCCTCAGTCAAATTACCTGTTTCTTTGCTATCATTTTTCTTCTGGTGTGGCTGTGAAATAGTTTCAGTTCAGACTTGGCCTCTGCTACTAAATCATTCTCAAACTGTCTCTCAGCTTCTCTCCTCACCCAAAAACGATTGTTTCTGGCCAGTCAGCTCACTTCTGTGTTCTTGTCTGACCTTTTCTTTCTGTTTTTCCACTCTCTCACACACATTTTATTTTTTTTGCCTCCTTGCACACTCACATTTATGGGACCCCCATTAACAATAGTCATGTTATTTGAATACCTACTTGTAGTTACAAGTACAGGGCTCTGCAATATCTAATCTTCAGTATTTAGCTTGTCAAATAATAGTTTAAAGCACAAGTTACTTAATTCAATTCAAGTTTATTCTCTATAAGGGTTACAATGTGGGGTTTACAGGTTTTGGGTATTGTGTGGTTTACATGTTATAAAATACTAATTACAGAGGGGGCCACTAGGACACCTAGCATGGCTAAGCATTTCGGGCAGACTTAGATTAATTCTTAACATTAAATCCTTACAGATTATGGTATTAAGGCTAAGTGACTACATCATAATTTGTGAGTTTAGCAATGTGAATGCTTTTGTTTTGGCACAATACAAAGTGTCTATATTGGAGTATCATAGGCAAACTTATGACTAGTAGGGATTTATTATTTTAAGATTAAGATTAGTATTTTTGGGTTTATAGTCAGTGGGTGAGTGAGTGTTATTGTGAACCACCAGGTGGTTATCATGTAGCTAGCTGTTGGGGTGTATCAGGGAGATAAGATGTTTTCTAACTGTAGTTTTGAAAGTGATGAATGTGTCTGCAGTTCCAGAGTTTTCAAGTAGGGTGTTCCAGATTTTAGGTCCTTTGAAATACACTGAATTTTTGTAAAGGTTTGGTCGAACACGGGGAATGTCATAGAGATGTTTGTGTCTGGTGTTATGCCTGTGGATCCTGTCACAACTATCAAGAAAGCATTTTAGGTCAAGGTTAATATTGGAATTTAAGGTCCTGTAGATATAGATTGCACAGTAGTAAGTGTGGATGTTCTGAACAGGGAGTAAGTTTAGATCTATGAAGAGTGGGGGGTGTGTTGCCAGGGATGGGATTTAGTGATTATTCTTACTGCGGCTTTTCGTTGGGTTATTATTGGCTTTAGGTGTGTTGCTGCAGTTGAACCCCAAGCACAGATAGCATAGGTGAGGTATGGATATATAAGTAAATGGTATAGCGTGAGAAGGGCAGTTTGTGGCACGTAGTATCATATCTTGGAGAGGATCCCAACCGTTTTGGATACTTTTTTTGTTATGTGTTGGATATGGGTACTGAAATTTAGGTTGTTGTCGATGTATAGGCCAAGGAATTTGCCCTCATTATGTCTGGCAATTAGAGTGTTGTCGATCTTAATGTGAAGTTGCGCAACACCTGCTCTGCTACCAAACATAATATAGTAAGTTTTGCCAGTGTTAAGTGTAAGTTTATTGGCTGTCATCCAAGTCGATATTTTGAGCAGCTCCTCATTAACAATGGTGTTGAGGGTGGCAAGATTAGGGTGGGAGATGACATAAGTCATGTCGTCAGCAAAGAGAATGGGTTTCAGGTGTTGGGATATGTTTGGAAGTTCATTGATGTAAATGAGGAAGAGCAGGGGTCCAAGGACACTTCCCTCCGGAACTCCAGTATCAAGTGGCCGTATTGATGAGGCTGTGTCTTTAATGGTGACATACTGATACCTATTAGAAACGTAGGATTTAAAATATGCAAGCGCATGGCATCTTATACCACAGTGGTCAAGTTTGTGGAGTAGGATGCCATGGTCTACTGTGTCAAACGCTTTTCTTAGGTCAATAAAAATTCCTGGCGGATATTCTTTATTTTCCAATGCTGTGTAAAGCAGGTCTAGCATTTTTATAATTGCATCATTAGTGCTTTTATTTTTCCTGAATCCAAATTGGCAGGGGTTGAGTATGTTTTGTGACGTCATAAATGAGTATAGTCTCCTGTGCACGAGTTTCTCGAAGATTTTGGATAGCAATGGTAAGTTTGATATTGGCCTATAGTTGTTTACATCTGTAGGGTCACCACCTTTATGTATTGGTGTAAACCTTGCTGTCTTGAGTAGTGTCAGGAAAGTGCTAGTTTCTAGTGACTTGTTAAAAAGTAATGTAATAGCATGCGAAAGGACATGGGCCGCTCGCTTGTACAATAATGGTGGGACATGAGACAGATTCCCTGAGTAAATTTTAAGTGACTTTATGATCGCGGTGACTTCCGTGGGCTCAGTTGGTACAAGATAGAAGGAATTTGGGAAATTCCCATCTAGGTAGTCCCTGGCACGGGCATTGTTACATGGGATTTTACTGGCGAGATTAGATCCTATGTTTGAGAAGAAGTCGTTTATCTTGTTAGCTTTATCAGTGGGATGCAGTGGTGTTTCATGAGGTTTAGTTAGAACAATATTCTTGTTTTTTTTCAGTTTGTGGGTCCCCAGAATCTGGGAAAGTGTTTTCCAGGTCTTTTTTATATCTCCTCTTGTGTCAGTGAATCTGCTGGAGTAGTACAGCTGTTTGGCTTTCTTTATTAATTTGGTGAGAACTGTTGAATATTGTTTAAGAATATCTTTGTGTATTAAGCCCTGTCTATATTGCTTTTCAATTGGTGTTTCTTATCAATGGATTTCAGAATGCTGCTGGTTAGCCATGGGCAACCAAGCCGTTTATTCGTGATCCGTTTCGTTTTTATAGGACAATGTTTGTTGTATAGTCTAAGTATTTTGTTAAGAAAAATGTCTGTCCAATCGTCAATACCATTGGCATTGGAAAATTCTGTAGGCCAGTCAAGTCTCTAGGTCTGCTGTGAAATTCATAATATTGAGGCCTCGTCATGGAGTCTAAATGAAACTTTGTTGTATTCGAGTGGTGGCTTACTAATGTTTGTTAAGAGGAAGGTTGGGTAGTGGTCAGTAGTGCTGTCTGTGATTATCCCTGATTTAAGGGGGGCTAGTATATTGGTCCATATCTGGTATATTATGAATATGGACTTGAAATTAGATTCATAATAATAAAGTGCTTGTATAAATAATTAATTAGAAAAATACACACCTGGTGTAGTTTGTAATGGGCTTGGGAGTGAGAGCGTCCTCACATTAGAATTTTGTGTTGGCATCTGAGGCACCAACTGAGCATCATCTTGTGAACTAATGTTGTTGCAAATTCCAGAGGTAAAAGTTATGTCTTCAGTAATGCTGGGGACCCAATTATCTACATTCATGGTGATGTCATCCAGTTGGTTTTCATATTTTACATGGGCTGCAGCAGGCTCATTTTTATGGTGAATAACAAAAGGTGAATCACAATTTCCATTTTGCTTTGCGTGACAGCTTCTCCCTAAAATGGAAATTAAACTTCTAAAACAACTCTATTATGGTATCAAATTATGAGACGAGATAAACAAATCTCAGAATTACAATGAAAGCCAGATGAACAGTAGTAATGTACCAAACCTGATGATGATGATTCATAGGAACAGGTGCGAGGTAATGAAACTTTAGCATAACTTCGAACCAAGACCTCATTAGTTTCCGAAGACTGCACAAAGTTCTTTACACCTGGATTCTCAGGCAGCTCTTTATCTTTTTCTTCCTAAAACAAATTTAAGTATAAATGAGTTAAAAAAATTACCCTCCTTTACACTGTAATAAAAAAAAATATAAACAATAATACAGTAAATATAGCAATGAAGAAAATGACACAATTCTGTGGCTGGAATATTTCACTTTCAACTAACAAAATAACAGTAATTGCAGCAATGTATAAAGAGAATATAAATATATTACTATACATTAAAATCTGTATAACAGTGCTGCACTTAATTGTTACACTAAGGTTTTCCTTTTTTTTTTTTTAACCTGGAACATGTGCTATTAGGCAGTATACAATTCACATTATTATTAACTAAACAAGAAATAATGTAAGATAGCAAAGTTAAAAGAGCATATGGTATGACACACTGAGCAAGTACCTGGTAAAGCAGAAGGCACCAGAGCACTGAGTCAAGCCTCACTTTGCATACTACAGGCATGCACAGTAAGTGATGGTGTCAAACTCTGGCTATATCACCTGCTTATTCTTTCCCCAGACTATCATACATGAAGTTGTGTGATTGTCTAAACAAACAAACAAACAACTTTATTTCTATAAAGTGGAGAGAACTCTACAGTATACAATTAGGGTAACTGACATTATAAACTAATTTAAGAAAGCCCCTCATTATGCAAGGCATTTTGGACAGCCTTAAAACTAACTTATAATTACTAGACAATGAGACACATACAGTACATGAGAATAAGAATTACCTTATTTATACTTTATTGAAGGTATTCAAATTCAAATTTTTATTTCTCTACAAAGTTTACAATGTGTGATAATAAAAAAAAATAAAAAAAATTTTATTATTATTATCACACTGGCTGATTCCCACCAAGGCAGGGTGGCCCGAAAAAGAAAAACTTTCACCATCATTCACTCCATCACTGTCTTGCCAGAAGGGTGCTTTACACTACAGTTTTTAAACTGCAACATTAACACCCCTCCTTCAGAGTGCAGGCACTGTACTTCCCATCTCCAGGACTCAAGTCCGGCCTGCCGGTTTCCCTGAACCCCTTCATAAATGTTACTTTGCTCACACTCCAACAGCACGTCAAGTATTAAAAACCATTTGTCTCCATTCACTCCTATCAAACACGCTCACGCATGCCTGCTGGAAGTCCAAGCCCCTCGCACACAAAACCTCCTTTACCCCCTCCCTCCAACCTTTCCTAGGCCGACCCCTACCCCGCCTTCCTTCCACTACAGACTGATACACTCTTGAAGTCACTCTGTTTCGCTCCATTCTCTCTACATGTCCGAACCACTTCAACAACCCTTCCTTGATGTGTTAGGTACAAAGAAAGCCACTATCATGTCAGGGCATTTCGGGCAGACTAATCCTAATACTGTCCTTAAAAACTACTTAAGTCTAGACAGAATAAAGTGTTACAACAGTACAATTTTAGTCATATTCAGTTATTCAATCAAAAATTCTAATTAAGGATACATTAATGATGAAGCTAAGTATACCTGAATTAATACAAAAAAAAATGCCTTTCTAGTAATAAATGAGAGTTGAAGGAAGCCTGAAACAAGAAGAGGGGCAATACTGGATGAAAGCCAGGGTTTCAAAACAACAAAACAAACAAAAGTTTATTTCTTTGCAAAGGTTACAATGTGTGTTTATATTTCATAATTTGACTGGTATAAAGAAAGCCACTACCATGCTGGGGCATTTCGAGCATTTCAGGATTTATTCAGCATAATAAACTGTTGGGAGGATCACATTAAAGTAAGGATGTGTTTTTTAGCAATAGCTTTGAAGCAGTTGACGGATGGGGAGCCTCTGGAATCTTCAGGCAAAGTGTCCCAGATTTTAGGTCCTTTTTTGCATAGGGTTGAGTCAAACATGAGGAATATCATAGAGATTTTTGTGTCTGGTATCATGCCTACGAGTTCTGTTGCAACTATCAGTAAAGATTTTCTGGGCAGGTTTGATATTAGAATTGGCTGTCCTGTATATGTAGTATGCACAGTAGCAAGAGTAAATTTTATGTATATTAAGTAAGCTTAGACTTCTGAAGAGTAGAGGAGTGTGTTGTCTGGCATTAGACTGGAGTGTCCTGCGGCCTGGTGGCAAAAGCTCTTGCTTCACATTGTGAGGGTCCGGGTCCGATTCCTGGCAAAAAGGTGGAAACATGGACATATTTCCTTACACCGGTTGTCCATGTTCACCCATCAGTAACAATGGGTACCTGGGTGTTAGTCGACTGGTGTGGGTCGCATCCTGAGACAAAACTGACCTAATTTGCCCGAAATGCTTTGTATAACAAGCAGCTTTCAATATAGTAGTATGTCACTGATGTCAGCTAGGCCTGTTTACCCTCTACATGTACTTGTAGAAATAAAGATATTATATTATGATCACTCATACAGACTCTCTCAGTTGAGTTACTATGCATTGGCTTTAGGTGATTTGCTGTAGTGGATCTCCAGACACAAACTGCATTGGTGAGGCAGGAATAGATTAGAGTAGTATACTGTGAGTAGTTCTGTTTGAGGTATACAGTAATGTATCTTAGAGAGGAAGATAACTGATTTAGATACTTTTTTGTTATGTGCTGAATGTGGGTGTTGAATTTCAAGTTGCTGTCAAGGAAGAGAACCTAAGAATTTTCCTTCATTTTGTCTTGGGAGAACCTTTGTTCATAACATTACGATTCAAATTTGGGTGGGAGATGACAGAAGTTGTGTCGTCAGCAAATAGAAGAGGTCCAAGTTGTTGAGATGCGTCCTCTTTCTATTCTACATCAATGATCTCCCCAATGAATCTCAACTCCATAAACCAGTTCTATTCGCAGATAACACTACTTATGTCTACTCCCACTCAAACCCAGCTATACTCAGAGACACTGTAAACAATGAGCTGCTAAAAACATGAACTTGGATGATGACCAACAAACTCACTCTCAACACAGACAAAACAAACTTCATGCTGTTTGGAAACAGAGCCTTAAATATCCAACTGAATATAGTATTGATAAATGATTCCCCTATTACAAGACACACTGAGGGTAAATTTCTAGGTCTTCTCCTTGACTGTAATCTTAAATTTCATTCCCACATCCAGCATATGTCCAAGAAAATTTCCAAATCAGTAGGCATCTTTCCAAGATACAATACTATGTATATCCCTACCTCACCTATGGTATTTGTCCCTAAGGATCAACCACAGCCAACCACCTTAAACCAATAAAAAGCTGCTGTGCAGATGATTACCAGCTCCTGTGCTAGACAGCACACCCCATAACTTTTCAAAAGCCCAAACTTACTAAATATACAACACACTAAACTCCAATATAAACCCTCCACTTAAACTTCTCCTTGATAGCTACAACAGAATGCACAGTCACAATACAAGGTATAAGGCACTCTTCGACATCCCTCATATCAGTCTCACAAGTATGCAAAACTGTACTGCACATAAAGGGCTAAAAGATCTGGTAAAGGATCCCCTGACTACATATAAATTTAGAACTTTGCTTAAAAATCATCTTATCTCTGAATACTAACCAAACCGACCAAAACAACTTCTGATCAGTTTGACGCAACTCTCCCAAATACTATATGACCTCTAGTTTATTAAACATCTGCCAATCCATGAAATATTACTTTTTGAACCATTATTTGTAATATTGTTTTTATTATGTGCAACTTCAAGACTATTATTCTTATAAACCTCCACCTTGACTACCTTGCATTATGTAGTATTAAGATTAAATAAAGGTTTTAATGCAAGTTAACAACTCTTATCTTGTCTAGATTTAAGTAGTTATTATGTACTAGGATTAGTCTGCCCAAAATGCCCCGGCATGATAGTGGCTTTCTTTGTACTTAGCAAACCAAAATTGTGATTACACATTGTAACCTTTACAAAGAAATAAAATCTTTATCTTTATCTATATCACAGATATATACAAGGGGCTACAGGTGTGGATAAGTCACCACTAACAGATGACATCTCTTAGGAACACAGCAAAAGAAAAGAAAGCAACTCAGTTTGAAAACTACAAATAAATTTTATCAATTACCATTACGTATTGTGTTTATGTCTACCCAACTTAACAGTAGACAGGAAGTATATTAGTATTGACCTTGCCAACACTAATGGAGGTGTATGAATGGTCAACAAAAATGACAAGATAAAGAATCAGTCACATGTGCAACATCTGGGTATCTTTATGTGTCTGCTGCATGTTCCTCACCTGATACCAGAATAAAAGTTCCAATCTTCATGCCTGTACTTCAGATTCATCAAGACTACAGTACTCTTCACCAACTCCAAGGCTAAGGGACTGATCACCTCATCTTTTGTATATAGTTCTACAATTTTCCTATTTTGTCCTTGAATTTGTATTGATAAAGCCATTGGATGGCGAAACATCTACAAATAAAGCTACCCAGATGTTGTATGTGTCTAATTCTTCAATACAGGAGGTATATATGGTATGACACATTGGGCAGGTGCTTTGCTTGGAAATGCTGGAGGCACCTAGGTAATGAGTCCAGCTTTACTGTATAATGTAGACATGTAAGTTATGGTGTCAATTAACTCCAACTATGTTGCCTGCTTATTCTTCACCAGACTATCACACAATGTGGAAATATAAATTTAAATAGGCTTCATGATTATATCTGTTAACTGGCTGAGAGAGACAAAAAAGATAATTTGCTCAGTAACTCAAAACAAAAGTAAAAACCAATGGCGTTTGTTTAGTAAGAATTTATTAAATATTTTTTATATTTTACAAATACAGAATAAGATATTCCACTGAAGTTTTATTTCTCCTCCATACTCATCTTCAAACTTTGTATCTATTTTTTCATAAAATAAAACACTACTACTGATTTTGAGAAAGTCCTATTCATCACCAACACAAGGTGCAATTTGAGCTGTCGGAACTATACATCTCATACTTCAATTAATTTACAAGCTTTCCCTGATTCTGATTACTGTTTCTCTCAACAAAACTAAAATACAGTAGGACCCCCGTATCTGCTGGCTCAGTTTCTGTGGTTTCAGTTATCTGCAGTTACCGTGGCCCAAAAATAACCTTAAATTTTGCTTAATAATGACATCAAAGCACAAAAGTAGTTGTTGGTGACAGTTCTTCAAAACCTAAGAAAAGCTATGAAATGCTAACCCCTGACTTATTGTGCTTCATTTATCAATTAACTTTATCAAAGGTGGTCTGGTGGCTAAAACTCCCGCTTCACACACGGAGGGCCCGGGTTCGATTCCCGGTGGGTGGAAATTCTGACACGTTTCCTTACACCTATTGTCCTGTTCACCTAGCAGCAAATAGGTACCTGGGTGTTAGTCGACTGGTGTGGGTCGCATCCTGGGGGACAAGATTAAGGACCCCAATGGAAATAAGTTAGACAGTCCTCGATGACGCAATGACTTTCTTGGGTTATCCTGGGTGGCTAACCCTCCGGGGTTAAAAATCCGAACGAAATCTTATCTTATCTTATCTTACGTAAACAAAAAATGACTTGTATACGTGTAGTTCAAAAGGTAATGGAAAAGACCTATGGCTAGTATGAATGGTTTCAGGTAACATTCCCCCAATGAAAAGCAGGGGTGCAATGAGTACACTGAGAGACAACATAATAAGTGTCAGGGGCCCAAGACTGTTCAACTGCCTCCTAGCATACATAAGGGGGATTACCAATAGACCCCTGGCTGTCTTCAAGAAGGCACTGGACAGGCACCTAAAGTCAGTATCTGACCAGCCAGGCTGTGGTTCGTATGTCAGTTTGCGTGCTGCCAGCAGTAACAGCCTGGTTCATCAGACCCTGATGCACCACAAGGCCTGGTCTCAGACCAGGCCATGGGGGGGTTGACCCCCAAAACCCTCTCCAGGTATACTCCAGGTATCCCTGGTAGGTCTTGGAATGTATCACCCACAGATACAGGGGTTCTACTGTATAGCGGATAATAACTGAAGGTTAAACAGAAGACATTTTACCTTACTATTATTTGCAGAGTTCTCATCTGTGGAGTATGACTTCTTATCGACACTTACTCGAAGCTTTACTGTGTGAAAGCATGTACTCACATCACCAACCTGATTATAAGAACCTCAATGCATTAGTAAATGTTAGTAAAAGAAAAATATATCATTTAAATAATCTGTAATATTTGTAATATTGTTTTTATTATGTGCAACTTCAAGATTATTATTCTTATAAACCTCAACCCTGACTACCTTGCGTTAGTATTAAGATTAAATAAAGGTTTTAATACAAATTAATGTAGGAAAGAGGGAAATTATTTCCCAGTAAAAGTAGGCCTTAGACAAGGATGTGTGATGTCACCGTGGTTGTTTAATATATTTATAGATGGGGTTGTAAGAGAAGTAAATGCGAGGGTCTTGGCAAGAGGCGTGGAGTTAAAAGATAAAGAATCACACATAAAGTAGGAGTTGTCACAGTTGCTCTTTGCTGATGACACTGTGCTCTTGGGAGATTCTGAAGAGAAGTCGCAGAGATTGGTGGATGAATTTGGTAGGGTGTGCAAAAGAAGAAAATTAAAAGTGAATACAGGAAAGAGTAAGGTAATGAGGATAACAAAAAGATTAGGTGATGAAAGATTGGATATCAGACTGGAGGGAGAGAGTATGGAGGAGGTGAATGTTTTTTTTTTTTTTTTTCAACAAGTCGGTCGTCTCCCACCGAGGCAGGGTGACCCAAAAAAGAAAGAAAATCCCCAAAAAGAAAATACTTTCATCATCATTCAACACTTTCACCACACTCACACATTATCACTGCATTTGCAGAGGTGCCCAGAATACAACAGTTTAGAAGCATATACGTATAAAGATACACAACATATCCCTCCAAACTGCCAATTTCCCAAACCACTCCTTTAAAGTGCAGGCATTGTACTTCCCATTTCCAGGACTCAAGTCCGACTATATGAAAATAACCGGTTTCCCTGAATCCCTTCACTAAATATTACCCTGCTCACACTCCAACAGATCGTCAGGTCCCAAGTATCATTCGTCTCCATTCACTCCTATCTAACACGCTCATGCACGCTTTCTGGAAGTCCAAGCCCCTCGCCCACAAAACCTCCTTTACCCCCTCTTTCCAACCCTTTTCCC